CCATCAATAAAGTACCTAATAACTATTGTATTATGTAATTCACAAGGAAAAATTAATTTTATACCTTAATGATGGGTCGTGATTTATTCTCGAAAATGTTTTCTTTGGTAATTTAGGGCTAAGAACACTTAACCATTGAGCCATTTTTTTCTTCAAAACGAAACCATTAATAGGTAAAAGTAGGAATATTTGATGAAATTTATAAAATAATATGTTTATCAAAGAAATATACACTTTGTTGTAATAACAATGAATTTTTTTTTCATAAGCATTCCACAGTTTTGTTTTTACAATATAAAAATGACGAATGCGGTTTGAAATAAAACTCTATGTTCTTACTGAATACTGATCTTGGATGGAGACTGGGATGTTAGTAGAGTGGTAGGTCGATTAATTGGGACAGTCTTGGACTTGATTGGATTTCTCTAGAGATGTAGATTGTGTTACCTTTTAGATAAATATAGTTTGGAACAATATATTATTGATAAAATTGAAGAATTACCTTATCCAACCACAGTTGCTAGTATGACAACTAGTTTTGTTCCTTAGAACATCGTCAGGTCATTGTATGCAACCACATCATCAATGTATTAATACATTGTGATATGTCAAAAGATTCTTTAAAACACTGTCAGAATCACAATAGTAAAAACTAGTCATGTTGATCAAATTATTAAAATTGAATAAAAAGTGATAAAACTGGTTAAAACCCTAAAGGCTGGCCAGCAATCTCTTATCACTGTCACTTAAAACTCACGCTGATGTTCTAAGGAACGAAACTAGTTGTCATACTAGCAACCGTGGTTGGATAAGGTAATTCTTCCATTTTATCAATTATATATTCCAACCAAGGATCACAATGAATAACATAACAATATATTAGTCTAGCAAGTGTTTGTTACAGTAAAATGCAAAGAAATGTATAAATAGTAAAGCAAATAATAAGTTATCTTTGAAAAATATTTATATTAATATAACAGACTTATTAGAAGTAAACATACAACATGAGAAAATTTTACTCTTTGACGATAACCTGTACAAAACTTTCTTAACATTATATAACACAAATAAAAACAAATTAGGAAGGTAATATTACCTAATTTAAACAAATACTCAGCGAGGGTTATGAGACGAACCACTTGTTAAATGTTTAGTATATATTGCTAGTTACGATGTCTCTATATCACCTACACTAGTAAAATCTTAATTTCAAATATTTCACTAACTTACCCATTTTGAATGATTCTAAATTTTATAATGAACGTGATATTCAAACATCAAGGGCTGTTTCACCAACCAAGTAGTTTTCTTACAACGGAGTGTATGAAGTGATCAGTACTAACTTCTTAACTTCGATTGTAAACAATTCATTACTTTCTATATAACTTCTGTTGTTATATATAAAAAAAACATTGGTTTTATCAATTGTTGTTGTTAAGAAACGTTGTTTTAATTGATTGTGTTTAACTGAAGTTCATCGTTGCATTGTTGTCGACTGAATTTAGATTTGGTTGTGTCTAATAACACGCGAACACAGTTTATTGAAATAATCCCAAATAATTCAGGGAAACTATTGATGCCTCAATAATTCTATATATCGACAGCATAGTGGAGGAAAACACAATTGGAATATACGAATTGATCAAATACCTTACTCAACTGCTCCTGATAACAATAAGAAAATTTAAAACTAGACAGAAGTAATTTTGAGAGTTTTTCTTCATGTTAAAAAGTATGTTTGTGCTGTACATAGTTTGCTTAAACAATTTCGTGGTATGACACACAATATAGTTCATTATACGTGCAAAAAGTATATTTTCAACATCCACTTATTTTCGAGAAAAACTTTGAACTCTTGTAGAAAAGAGCTACTTTATGCTTAGTTGTGAAATATACTATTTATTTAATACCAGTGTGACATGAAATCATGGCGAACGGATAGTAGGGCTGCCCTGTAACAGGCCTTCTATAGTTTATCGACGTTTTTTGTCATAACATACCAGAGCAAGGAGTTCTTGAAGCATATTAAACCACATTCTTACAGTTTAATCAACTTAATAGGAGTTATGTCATAATCTTATAACAAAATACTCAGAAAGCACACTAAAAGTCCTACGAAGAACAAATGAGTCAAAGGTGAACAACTTAAATTCTTGTGATGTTTAGCATTATTGCAAAGGTTTTTAAATACTGTTAGTAATAGAAACGTAACTTTTAAAAACTATGCAGAAACCGTGATTTTTACGATTGAATTGTATTGGTTTACCTCTGATTTTAAACAATACTTTTTTCTAGGATTAATTTCCGAATGTGAGAAAGTGAGAATTGGTATTTTAAATTGATGTATTTGATAATTTTTACCATTTAAGAAAATACTAGGAAGCTGAAATTGCTCTTTAAGGTTACTAAGATAAAAAAAAAAACATTTGACATGCATATTTTGAATACATTACAGTTACAGAATTGTTCTTCAGCTTACAAAGGGATACAAATTTGTTGTGTAAAACGTAACTGGATCGAACATAATGCACTGGGAGGAGAATGGAGGGAAGTTCTGTTGGCTGGCTATAAAGAGCTCGTAACATGATATTACCACGATTTTCTTCCCCCTTGCAATATGTGATAGTGTTAGCAGTGCAATCTAATTATGCATCTGTTACTGTCAGATGTAAGCAGAAGAGGAATAAGAGTTTTATTCTAATATGTAACAGAATGTTATAGTATAATAAATACCGCACGTTTTATTAAATTTTAACTTTACAATGTATGTAAATTTTATATTATACTTAATGAGAAAATAAATGGCGTAGATACATAACAATCTTTGAATGGTGCTATTAACATTTGACAAAATTATTTTTTATGCGCAGCAGTTATACTAAGTACTGAACACAAATTACATGAGCCAAATAAAACACGGAGGTTTTAAATTAGTTTTTTTTATCGGACGATAATGTTGCAGCATTTTCAAAACTTGCAACACCAAAAGGGAATCAGCTGGTAATGGCAAGGATAGGTTGTTCGTGGAAGTTTAAGGTACGTATTGTACTCATTTAGATCAAGTAACAATAAAAAAATACCTCCTTCCGAATAAAAGGAGAAAACAAAATATATAAGAACCAACTCCACTGAAAGGCACACAACCTTAGGCCTGCATCTACTGCGAAAACCCATGGCCAAGAACTTTATAACTTACAACCCCCTTACAAATGAATATTACAGGTCAATAAGCAGTAATATACAGTGGTCATAATGTAAAAAATATAACACTTAGCAAAGCTGCTACCCTATAATTGCCAAAAGAGGATCAGTGGTTAAGTTTACCATTAAACTGACGCAAAATATCGTAAAAAAATCTCCCAATGCATCGAGAATGTATGCATAACAAAATATCTTTATGGTGCAAACATTTGCAGTTTTATTCGTTGCCACACTCAACAAAGTTTTTGGAGAACAACTTTTTTAACAACGCATTTTCATTTTTAAGGTTCTTTCCCCCCTCCATTACACAAGCAATTGAGTATGATATTATCGTTTGAGTGTAATTAATTCGGCCGATCTATTGATTTGTTATTCCATAATAAGAAAATGTTGCTCACTAAACAGTACAAATGGACTTAGTGGTTTAGTGGCAGATCGTGGGACTTATGTCCCTAAGGTCCCAGGATGAAATCCCGCCAAATAACCAAAATATTTTATCTAAATGATATTACCCCTAGGACTACCCCTAGGACTATTTTACGGAATATTTTTATTAAATGAATAAATGAAAAAATATATCCAAACATGACTACGCAACAAACTAAAACTTACAACGATTATTCATTAGCAGATTTACACATAATTACCAAATGAAAAATATTTAAAAAAATATTTCTATCAATAATAAAAATAGCCTTAATTTTCATAATGATTGTAATACACTAACAATTTGCCACGGAGTATGTTATTGTAAGTAGTTCCATTATAATTAAAAAGTTGTATTAATAAATAATGTAACACAACAACTTATATACTTAATTCCCTTTTAATTAATTAAAAGTTCGGAGAAACATTATTTACAATCTCTTTATATCTTAGAATTTCCTAGAGTAAATAGTCTTTAATATGTGTTACATTTTTGTAAGCAAGATCATCATTGGATTTTAAATAAACAATGCAGAAGAAAATGAGGTTGCCTCTAACGTCGAAAAAGAAGTTCTAGTTTGCAGGTTAAGTTTATCCCTATATTTTAATGACTTATTTCAGGATCTAATACTATTTTTCATAATTATTTATAATTTTATTTAATAACGGATGTAACAAAATAATAACAATAATATGTATACCAACATTTTTTTATTAAAAAATATATAAACAAAGTTTTTTATTATTAAAAAGCAAAATAGTTCAAAATTACCACTTCGAAAAGCAATCTTAGAACACAAAATAAAACCTCACTTTGAAGTATTTAGAGTGTTTAAGCGCCGTAATTAACTATTTGGACTTTTTTATAATTTTTGTACATAAAGAATATCTTAAATCCATCATAGTTGAATTAACTGTCTACTGCCCTAAATTTTACGTATGTTTGGTATGCAAAATATATTATACTAGAAGTACACTGTATAAAAATTATTCGCAATGTTACAAATTATATTTTTAAATAATAAAAATTATAATTTAAATATGCCGCCCCGCATAATAGGTTTCCATTGTTTGCTAATCAATTTGCTCAACATCAAAAATTAAAACACGAACAGTGCACTATTTCTAAAAACCTTAATATCAAATGGTTCATCAAAAAGAGAGATTATTAAATTTGAAAGCTTGTTGAAATTAGTTTTCGTTTGAAATTGGAACTACAAATGTACCGTTAAGCAATGACGTACTATCACGTAGATAATGACCGAAACTAGATAATACTATCAGGGAAACTAATAAGTTAAGTTGTCTAGATAAAATAAACGTATGACTACAATAACTTGTTGATACTTCTAGTATGTTTTGTTTTTTCTAGACGAAAGATTATTTTATCAAAACCATGGATTCAGATCAAATCTTTATGGTAAGTTATTTTTACTTTTTTATTACATTGCAATCACACTATATCATCAGGCAAAATTATTGTAACTTATTGCAAGAAGTTTTTTCTTGTTTATATTATTAAGAGGTAAAAAAAAACAACAAAACTATTAAGGACTTGTAAATGTATATTTTACTCCTTGTATATTAATACTATTAGGGTTATTCAGTGTGTCATATAAACAGTTTTATATAATTTAGTTATTTTTTATTATAATAGTTAGTTGAAAATTATTACAATTTGGATTTAATTTGAAACAGGTCTTTTAGATTCTTAGTATGACTTTTCAGCTTGATAAATTATGTATTCTTGACAAAAACCCTAATATTTTTAGAATTAACATCTCACATCCCTGCGATAAGTCGTTCATATTACATAATTGGATTTTTATTTTTCACCAAATTAATTAGTGAATCAAGCTAAAAAATCTAACAAAATAAGCGTAGCATGTTAAAATAGATAAATGTTAAATTTCTAGTAAACGGGTATACAAAGATTTACACAACCACTTTAGCGTTGTTGATAAGGTTGATCAAAAACACAGAGAAAAAACTTAGATGTCACATAGTTTGACTAAATACTTCTTAATACCACCATGGAAAAAATACCATAACATGTTTTATGTTATTGGAGATTGAAGATTATCTAAGAATGTCTAATTGTCATAACTAATTTAACTGAAACAAATAGGCCTACTATGAAGACTCTATTTTAGATATGTAAGACTTTTTCATTTGGTTAGTATAGAATATGCCATAAATGTAACGTTTAAAGATTTTGTTGCTATCATTAATTGATATTTTCGAATAAATTCACAAAACAACATAAAAATAAGTAAACAATAAAGTTTGCTAGAACTTTCGTTTCGAACCACCATGTTGAGAATTTTAAAGTAAATTGCAGCTGTTCATTCATGAACACAGTATACTAATATTGAGGATCCTTATTGATGTGTCAAAATATTTATAAAATCCATCACACAGTAATATTGTCCCCATTCTTTCTCATTAACTACCTCTTTGAAACATTCAACTTTCTTATAACAAATTATTTAATAAAACCGCAGAACTTTTCCGTAGCACACATGTATAGAACGCTTTCCACCCAGCCCGAAAAGGCGTCCGTTGTGTCCCGAGCCGAGTGGGGAGCTGTGGAACACACTGGGAACAAACCTATACGTCACCCAATCATATATGTGTTCCTCACCATCAACTCTCACGCGCCGAGGTGTTCCAACAAGGAAGAGTGTTCCAGAATACTCCGGGACATGCAGGATCGAGATATGAAGGACGGATGTACCGACATTAAATACAAGTCCGTCAAATGGGTATACATAATTTTACTCACTTATATGGGGTTCCAGACAAAAGCAACATGACCTCATCTTAAAATGTATCTTTAAAGTTTCACAGAAACTCGTCATAATAACGATCATATAAGGATCTTTTAACTGCATAGCCCGATAATGCACAAAAGTGACATTTTCGAGAATAGTACAGACAAAAAAACTTTTAACCACTTCCATCCCAATGCGAAGTTGAGTCAATTAAGATTTCTAACACTATAATAATAAACCAAAATGTGTTTGAACAGGTATATGAAAAGAAAATAGAAATATATCTCAACCTGTTTCGAATAGTTTTATGCTAAAGTACAAAGGACACATGCTCTTATTCCGTAATTTTATAAAAACAAGTCTGAAAGTTAGATAGATTGGTTTTTAAAATTACTGATTGTACTGAGCTATATAGCCATCTGGTTCATCCTAAATAACCTGACACGACACTTAGGCTTCACTTTTGTTGTTGCTCTAAGCCATCTTGATAGTAGGCTAAATTACATTAGTTTACCGACCTGTGCGTTTATGTGACTAATAAAAAAATAGAAACTATGATAAAATGGAAATGTTAGTAAAATCAGTAGCAGTTGATCGTTAAAGCCTTGATCGTTTGTCTCATAATAAATGGTCCTAACTAAAGGTACAACCAACCTTAGCCGGTAAAAACATTCAGATTTACGCACAATTAACTATATACTCATTATGAACGAATATATAACCTAAAATACGCAAATAACTATCTCAAAGTAAATATAATAGTAAAAAAAAAAAACTATTAGCCTTTTGCTGCGGAATTTCATCAACGCAATGGCAGTTTTATTTATCACAAAAATAGGTTCTCAGAAATTAAGTTGTTAAAAAGGCCCATCCATGTAACAAAGGATTATTCGTTGCAAGTATTTTCTGATTGTCTGCTTGGTAAGATTTCCAGACATTTTAATTAGGAGCTGTTTACGTTGACAGACGATTCTAATTGCACCCAAACCTGCCTCTTTAGCTCTTTGTGCTTAGCCTCAAGTTAAATTTACAATATGAATGTAGTAAAGAAATACGTTTTGAAATTTTAGGATAAAATATTGTTTATATTCACAATTAAGTTATGTTTTAACGAAAAGCAAAGGTGCATTGCAGTGCATTCTCTCAATAATCAATGTTTTAATGATACCTGCCTTATATAACAAATGTAACGTAAAAATTTACGTATGCCATTTCTATAATATTGATTTTTGATTGGCTTAAAAGAGAAACACGCGTAACCTTTCCTTGGGACTTTTAATAATACTCAGCTCATCACATTCAAAGTTTCCAATGAGAGAGCTTATATCAATAATAAATTCATAGATTTAAAACACTTAATTACTGCAGTTCATCCCTATAAAAGTTCGCAGTTTTGACATTTTAGGACTCCTATAAAACTTGTGTTATCCCCATTTGTAAATGTCCTTTATATTTAAAAAGGAAAAAAACCGATAGTTTGATTTTGCCTACTCATAGCTATCTTTCACAGTTTTCTGATAGGGGATGATGGAACGATCTATGAGGGAAGGGGTTGGAATTTTCGTCCTCACCATCTAGACCAGTTTCCATCCATGGATGGGCAAATGCTGGACTTCGCTTGCATCGGCAATTTCAGAAGTAAGTTAGATGTAAAATAGAATGATAAATTATAGGCTAACTTTACAAGCTACTAAAATTGTTTTATCTTATAAAAATATAAGTAACAGTATTATGAAAACGAATAACACCAATACCGTATGGCTTAGTATATTTTAACAAAAGTAGATTATTTGTTCTCCTGAACTGCAATGCATGTACAAAACCGTATACCTTCCTGTAATGATGAATCGTATAAATTATAACTTTACCCAGTCTTTACACGTATTAATTTTTTTTATTAAATCATTTTCAACTATATGGTTTTGACTAAAGACATGTGCACTTTTTGTTGTAAGAGGAGTACAGTACATAATTAATCTATTAAATGGAACTAATAAATATTTTACTATCTATGAAGGTTAATATTTCATTTTTATATCACACACTTAGCGAACAGCACATTCGTTACCCTATACAAATGTTAAATATAAGAAATATAGGGATCCAGCAAATACATTCAAGTTAGGCCTAAATGAAAGATGAAGAATGTATTTACTGAAAAAATAAAAATTTCCACATATTTTGGACGTAGTTGTAATGCATTAGTCCCATGTTTTGATATCTTTAATCCCCAAACATCAAAAGCAGGTTTTGGAATAATTCGAGTTGATATGACTTACTAAACACATTTTCACTGCCTCAGGATATGGCATTACATATCATGGTTTACGAATAGGGGTATACCATTCTTGGCTAGGTTGGAAGATTAGATTAGGTTGGACTTTGGACGGCTGTGAAATTGAAAAAAGGTGTTTTGGCCAGAAGGATGATGTTTAAAATAGTTATTTATGTATGATTATCGAATTTTTTGCAACTTCTCTAATACAATATGTTTTTTGTTTCCAACAGAGGAACTTCGCCCAGACGCCATGTACGATGCTCAATGGAAGCTCCTCAACCTAGGAATTGAGTTGAAATATCTAGCAAAACATGCCCATTATTGGTAGACTTTGTAAATTTTTATTTTTATTTTTGCTTTTAAAATAATATAACAAAATAGGTATGCAAAACATTTTGTTCTAGTGGTTTACCATAGTAAATCTATCGTTTAAAATGAGCTGAGCATCAAAAATATAATATGTAAAGACATGCAGGCAAGTGGAACGGATGCATTATCTAATCAATCATTATAAATAGCCTAAAAGGTGAAGCTGCTAGAACGTCTGATGTTCCATAGCATAGTTTCATGATTTTATAAATTGAGAATAAAGGTTTCATATAGTCTGGATGACAAACAAAAATGTTTTGCATCATTTTCTCATTAAAAATAAAAGTGTTTTGTAAATGGTATTTTGTGTGTGTATCCTAGTGTAGAAGTAGTAATACAGATATTCAGTGTGTCTCTGAACAGCTTTTAAGATTAAATATTAAAAAAAAATACTATAACTTTTAACTATAAGTGTTTTTATTTACATCTAGTAATAAATCGCAGACGATCAATCAAACCTCATTGTTTTATTATAAATTTACAACTTAAATAGTAACGTGAAACCTTTTCTAATATTTTATAAAGCAAATAATTCTTCACAAAAATAATGTATTGTTTTGTATAAATCATTATTAAACTTGTTGTACAGAAATATTCAATAATAAATTCTGTATTACTAATATTGCAAAATTACAAGAACCATGAACGGTGAATGTTGAATCAATTTAATCAATCAAACATCCTTTTACTGAAAAAGCAAGATTATCGTAAAACGTAGGAAACCAAACGATCACTTTCCAACCCCAACAGACCCTCATTCTGGCTCCACAAACTGCCTATCTACTGCAGCATCCGGGAACTGAGGCTAACTACCTTGGTATTGGATTGGGTTGTTGTTATGTCGCTTGGTTTCTTTGTCGAGCGTTTTGCCTAAGCTTAATACGCCAAGCCATTGTATTATATTTGAATAACTTATTTTTGTTTACCAGTATAAAACGTACATTAAAATGATCAAGGAAATTTAGGTATAAATCAAATAAAGATAACATTATAAAATATACCTGGTTTTACAAATTATCTTCAAGTTAATTTACCCAATTAACTACAGTTCGTAAAGAATTTGAGTTATTTTAGTCTAACTCAAATATTAAAAAGTAACTAAATGATTTGTATTTGATTACTTATATTTCGGCCCCTGTTAATCGTCACTGTAGAAAATTAGTTCAAAAGCAGAAAAGCTATTTGGATAAGGCTTTCATTTTCCTTTTTATACTCATTTTCAAGAAAACCTCCATATTTGTTTTTTATTATTATTTTTATTTGTTGTGGAATCAACAAGGTCAAGTCACTAAATAATAAAGTGTGTTGAATGGACTAAAGAATGGAAATGTCAACTATATTTACCTACTTACATAATCACCTATTTAGTTATTTATTTAAAAATATACACTATTTTAGATAAGAATATACACTATTTCCTTGTTGTAAACCAGGTAAATATATTTTCCTCAAGACATATAAGAATAAAAAATACCCCCGCCGCAGTAAACCTGCCTACTAAGCGAATTTCCATTTGTCTTAATTGATTTTCAATTAAATATATTTTAATAACATTAGGTTAAACGAGTACCTAGGTTTGTTGCTACAAGGAAACTAATAAAGTGTGTTTTTTGTAAAATATTGATAGCTTAGTACAAAATAAATACATTTGATCAAAATACAAAATATATCCATAAACAAGCAAACTACAACGTTTGACAATATTCTCCATAAGAATAACATGTGAATTTTAAATTTAAATTTTTTTTTAATTTTCTCCGTTACTATTAGTTATCCCGCTTTACACCTTTAAACCAAATTTCATCAAAATCGGACAAAAATTATTCAAGTTATCGCGTTCACGGACGTATATATATATATATATATATATAATATATATATATACGTATATATATATGTCTATATATATACATATATAAAAATTTGAACGAATGGTGTTTTTGGCCTCTGGGGACATCAAAATGAAAAAGTAAATCGGTCCCGGGTCTAGGTCTTACCGTGCCACCTACGGTAATAGCTACTTCCCTATAGGGAATTTTGCTAAAAGAAAAAAAACTGTAAATTTAAAATTATAGAAAAAGTATTTAATTAGCAAATTTAAAAAATAGGGAATTTCAATTGGATATAATAAGTAATTTTTATTATTTAGGGAATATCGATGGACTCATTTCATAACAAACAATTCCAATAACATACTGAGCTGAACACTGATAACATGGGAGGCTTACCGTCACGAGACTATGCCTGTGTTGATTGCATTGTAAATTAATAATCAACATCTGGCTTCATTATAATGAACTGCTGTGCCAAAACCTATATGAGCGTAACAATGGTAAGATTAGCATTACAACAGGTTATCAATACTGTCTGAATTGAATTTATGTGTCCCTCCAAATAATAATTCGGTAAACACACTACTTCACCGTGGCGACAGTGAAATATTATCACATATTTTGTCTTCGAAAAAGCACTTGTCATTAATTAGAAATTATTTGATATAATCAACCATGAACAATCGGAAGTATAATAGAAATAACCTGCAAAATTTAGGTTTTGGACGTCAGATTGAGTGAACCAATTTTGACACCATTGACCCTCTAAAAGTTCATGTTACATGTTACTTCACAAATTCCCTAATTTTAATAAATTTCACCATCATGTTATTAATTTTACTCGTATTATCGATCGAACAGACTCATATACAGACTGTAAAACTAAATACGTTTTATGACACTTAAAATATACATTGATACTTATACCATTAACTCACAAGGCGGTAACTACATAAGATAGTTAGCAGTATGTCATTCACTTTTGGGGTCTAATGATTATAAGTATGTTCAACCGAGATCGATCACCACTTACCACCTCGTATTTATTTTTGTAAATGTATAAGTGTTTAAATATATAAGGGAATGAGACCATTGGGAAGGCCATGGATGAGATGGACAATGATGACATGGATGAGATGGTAGATGGACGAGGTTACAAAGGACCTGAGGAGTATGGGAGTATACCTGGAGCTGGCAGAGGACGGAGGATCTTGAAGGCACATGGTTGGCGAGGCCAAAGACCGCCTTGGTTTTCAATGGCTACAGGAGTAAGTAAGTAAGTTTTTTTCAAGTATTATTAGACGTATTTTGATTTACTTTACGTAATTCTAAAACCCTTACAATGATGATCAAGAAGTTCTTAACAACATTAAAAAATACATATATTGAATATTTGTCCTCGTATAGGTAAAATTATCAGGCGTGTAATTTAAAATATAAAGACGAACGTTTAGTGTTTTTTGCCTCTGGTGATGTAAAAACGAAAAAAATAGGCGGACCCAAGTCTAGGACTTACCATGAGCAATACGGTAATAACGTATTCCCTTTATACGGAATTCACTCGACATTCCTATCTTACGTTGGTCGAAATATAAAATAATAATATTCCAAACTATTTTAGGTTTATAAACATGTGTTAAACACTATCACTCATAGTTGAATTATATAATTGGAGACCATTATGTTGGATCGAATATAATCTACATGGTTTGCAGCAAGTACCACCCTTAGTGTCGATACTGCACACCTGATAATTAGTACGTTAGGGAAATTAATTATAATTGCTATACCAGACGCCTGGACCCAAACTAACGTTACAACACCTTCGCATTACAAACTTGATATCGTCTCCTATACAATTTCCTTGCATGAATATTGATTCGTGTTTTACAAGGTCTCTACTAGTTTATAAGTTTTGTATTTAGTTATGTTTCAAATCCGGTCTTTTTAAGAGTGACAATAACAACTGCAGAAAACTGGCATACTAGTGGTTGTACAAATAATTCTTTATTAAGGACCTAACTAGAGGTCAATATTGTCAATACACAATACTATTAATACAATGATTTCGAGGTGTAATACATTCAATGCTCCTGGTTAATGGGATTACGTCTAATGCTTTTTCCTACGACCATATTTTGAACGAGACGTTTCATTTCTGTTCTTAGAACTGAAAAGATTCACTTAACAGCATTGTTGTTTTACTTAACAACACGATAACGGGCCAATGAGGTTCAAGTATCGAAGGAAAGAAGTAAAATTTTAGTACTTCAAACGTCAGCTTTTCAGTTGTTAAGACCAATTTAATTGAGTAAACAATGAGTACGTGGTTGCGACAATAAGTAAATGCATCACAATCAGTGGTTATGAGAAGTTATAGAAGAAAACATAACTTCTTTTAAACGTAATGAGTAGTGATTTTTTGTAATTAAGAAACGGTCGTAGGTAAAGTAGTGTACACAACTCGCGTAATTAGCCTTAACGACACTCGTAAAATTCTTTTAAGGCACTCGCCAAAACTCTTGCTTTAAATTTTCTACTCGTATCGTCAACTATCCCTGCGCGATCGAAGTGTAAACTACTATAGAGCTACGACGGTACTTCCTTAACACCTTTTATTTAAGAGAATGGACGAATAAGCTCAGTTAATTAATTAATCTATTAACTAAACCGATGGATTAAAATGTTTGGTGTGACACCATTTTGTATAATCGCGTCATCTTAAAGTTTTGAAATTTTTGTATTTTGAATAGCCTTTTAACGAAAAAAAAATCCACCATCATCCACATTTAGGTAAATGTAAGCTGTAACTCTAGTCGTGATACAAGCGTAGCACTAATTAAGTGTTTTAGTCTAATATACAGTCTTTAATTCCAAGTTACCATCATCAGTAAAAAAAAAACTAACAGTTGAGTTAGCATCATCAATCGTATAATTGCCCTACTATTGAACTATAATTGTAGTTTCTTCTGAACACACTTGGCAAGATTACAAGTTGGCGTATTGTATAAGTAACTATAGCCTAAATAAATATAATAACCTCTTAACCCAGCTACTTGCAATGTTTACATAACACATAAATATTTTTTCAATTGTCCTGGTTAAGCATTTTACGTTACTT